ACATTTAAACAAATCCCTGGGTTACTCCGTGATTGACAGTAAAGTTTCACTGAATAAAACTGAATGACGTGTTTGGGTTTCAGGGCAATGGGGCTGGTGGTGTCCAGGGAAACGCAGCACATGGGCGTACCGTACTATGTGGATAAAAGTTTTGAGAAGGAATACCACGGCGCTGCGCTGGACGAACTAGAGAAATCAATTGAGAGCGACTATATCGAACACCTGCAGAGCAGCTGCTGGAAAGAGAAACAACAGAGTAAGTGTGCAGCTCTCCTGGTTTAAACGGGGGGGGGGCGTCTGTTTTAGTTGTGGTGCAAGTATCATCTATTTTGATGATGCCTACTTCTTGATTTATGTGAAATCTTTTTATATTGTTTCCTGTGATACAAGCAGACACTGAAATTCACATCGCATTCACTGTCCATTCAATATAAAACTACATCTCTGTATCTGGAGTCTCACTGGTTTCCTGTCAACTGGTCCTACCCAAGAAATAGTCCAGCACATAACCCCTCATAAAACAGGGAATTTTCACTTCATTGCATCTAGGGATTAAACTAACATATATGTAACATGTTGTGGTCTTTAGAGGTGCTGACAGTTGGATTTGTAAATGCAGGACAGAGCAAGGCTAGTTGTTTGCATAGCTTCTGGCTCTACTGTCATATTTGGCATGCTGATATGAGTGTGGTATGGATCTTTCCTCCTAACCCTCTGCAGCAAGCAAATAAGTGTGATACTATTATAATATAGCTATTATAAATAGGTTCTTTCTCTTGTTCTCCTTTTCAGAATCAGACTTGGCAAACCTCGGACAGCTGTACCGAGATGAACGGTTAAAGCAGAAGGCAGAGTCGATGAGGCTGGACCACTGTGAGAAACTGCATCGGCTGGTTGGGCGTCAGAGAGGCAAATGAGGACTGTTTGAGAGGAGAACACGTTTCATTACAGACTTTACAATAATGCATTTTATTGAAGTGTGTAATTTATCCAATCTGGCCACTTTGTAAAGCAATCTCTTTGGGTGGAGCGCAGTCAGCGGGAGATTATGCCACTGGAAACAATGTGCCTTGTCTCCTCTTCGATGGTAGGAAATAGAGTTGCATGTCAGCTGCCAGCCCTGGCTTTGGTGGTAGCAGCATCATGTGCAAACTCACTGTGGCAGTGTGTATGATGTGTCAGAGCCTTTAAACTTTCTTATAGAAATGGCACGACAATATGGGGGTTTCCCTTTGGGGTTCTGAAGGCAGTTGTATGTTCGCACATACATGTTCTATTTATTTAGGTTTTCTAGATTACCTGTATGTAATTTCTTGAATGATTTTGTGTCCTCGCTTAAATCTTAGGTGTATTTATTTGATAGTTAATAGAGTGAATGTTACTTGAGCATCTTGGCTCATCTTTTTTCTGTTGGAAGTAATGACGTACAGTGACTTAAATAATACTGTAGTCTTTTGACAAATCTGAGAAGCTTCTGTACTGTGAAATGACAGAGGACCTCTTCATTTATGATTAAAATACAGACGAATCAGACATTAGAAAGAACTGTAACATCTATACTGTGGTTAATCAAGCAATTTGACTTCCGGCATTATAGAAATAGGCAGCACATTAGAGTAAAACTTTACAAAACATGACCACATTTATCTGATTAACGTGCTTACCATAAAAGGTTGTACTTGCCAAAAAGTGAGTTTTCTTCCACTGTAGAGCTTCCCGCTCCCTGCACTACTGCTTACGTAGATGTTTGTTGCATTGGTCATTAAGCTTCTGCCATTCAGGAACCATTCGCTAGAGGTTTAAACGTGAGAAATGACTGTTATGTGTTGGGGAGGGTGGGGGGTAGGGGGGACATGTTCTGATTTGTCCCAAGCAGGGAGTTCACTTCAACCAAAAAGCCCATGCACCATCCCACACAGTTTTTCTGGTGTACTTGCTATAAATTGGAGGTGGTCGGCAGTATCTGTAAGGTTACTGGAGTTAAATGGCATGCAATACCTTCTTTTCAAAAACCATGCACAAGCTTAATTTTGTCCTGGGAAAAATGCGTTTCAGCTCAAATTTCTAAGTGTTTTATAAATCCTGCACTTATCATTTATACAATGTTTTATAAAGAAGACAGTTTGTTTTGAAAATCTGAACATTAATGAAGAATTAATGGTTTTAATCGGTTTTGTTAAATATCTATGGACATGACTTTTTCCCACAGCCAGGAACCAGTGTGGTGACTTTTACTTGTCAGGTCTTGTCATAAGTAGGATGCTAACTTTGTAAAGCTGTTAACTTCAATTTAATTAAACTTAATTTAAACCAACCGCAGATCATTCAAACCCTATACAGACATTAATATTTGTTGCTGTGCACTAAGACTGCCAAACTGCCTTAGCTGTTCTCATGTTTGTGAAATATTCAGGTTAATTTAAAGCACTTTTAAGTTAGTATTTAATCCTGTGTTCCATATCATGACTGTTGCATGAACCCTAGTGAGAGTGTTTTATTAGTTGCGTATTTATTTTTTTGGCGAACACATCTTCATGACTACTGACACACTAAATGTTACTTAGAATATTCAGGGCCACACTGTAACTCACCAATGTGTAAAACTTTTACTGTGATACACACAGATCAGGTTTTGGTATCAGTCAGTGTGGCAGTACACTTAAGCCAAAATTATCAGAAAATTAAAGATGTATCCAGAATACATGTTTGGCTTGTCTTATTCGTTCATTTGTGGTTGTGGTTTGACTCTTTAGGTTTGGTCACATTATTAAGCCAACAAATGAGAGATACAGGTGACAGTTTATCATTTATTTGACAACGCCAACACAAGTAGTTCGGCAGTTGGACTGGTACTGGACTGTTGCTAAGCAACACATAAATATTCTCCTGACCTGCGCAGTGTACATTAACTTGCCACTTTGTCTACACGTTACCTCAGGGGTGCTCTGAAGTATCCAAGCTTCTTCCCTTCATCTTCTTCTGACGACCATACATCATTTAATTCAGATGTTATTTCTGGAAATATATTCATCTTTGCAAAGTTTGTTTACGGTCTAAGATAGATAACGACCGTTAAGGTAACGCTGATTAACGGTTAATAGAAATCCTGTGAAGTGATATATGTAGTTAAAATTCCCAGTACTGTTATACTCTATATCAGCACTCATGGAATGCCTCTCGTCCAATCAAATTACTTGGTCAGAACTAACTGTTGTATAAAATGTTTTAACTGTGGTATTCAATTCATTTTAGGCTGATGACAATGGGAAGCTGTGCTGTTAATCAAACACTTGGTATCTCTATTTCAAGCTGATTATTGAAACGTTCAAGCCAATCAGCACATCCTGTTCACAACATCAATGTTTGTCAGGCAGCACAGAGTGAATATCAGATATCTGGGTTGGTCTAAGACATTTGACTTATTTCACAGACTAGATGTGCAAGTTAAGAGAGTATCTTGCTTTTTCTGTTTGACAGCACATAGCCAACATTTAAGCTGTCAAACTAATATAACTTTTTTTCCATTGATGCCAATTAGAGTCGTCTGGTTGGAAATACAGTCTAGACTGAGTATTTGGACAGTTACACATTTTGTTCTTCAGGCTCTTGGCCTCAGCACATTCAGTTTGAAATAAAATAATTGATACTACATCAAAGTGCCTAGCCTCAGCTCTCATTTCTGTAAGTTTACATCAGTGTAGAAAGAAATGTTTGAGAGACGCAGCCCTTTATACATAGTATTCAGAGCTTAGGGCGTTGAAAAGCAATTGGACAGATGCACATGAAGTCAAACAAAATCATCATGTTTAAAATGTTGTGGAAAATCCTTTGCAGTCAATGACTGCTGGAAGTCTTTGACCCATAGACATCCCTGGTGATACTCTCCAAGGCTTCACTGCAGCCATCTTCAGCACTTCCTTGTTGTGGGTCTCTGTGCCTTTAGTCTGGTCTTCACCCAGTGGAATGCCTATCATTGTCCTGCTGAATGCTGAAATGAGCAGCTCCTTTAGACCACTGCATTCATCCAGTTGCTTCTGTCAGCTGTGAAATAATAGCCATAACCATCCTTGACACATGAGGTGGTGGCTTTGGGTCATGAGCTGTTTTTTTTTTTTTACACTTCCCCTCTCTATCATTTTGACAGAGACTTTTTTGTCTCATTGTTCCATAGAACTTTGATCCACAGCTCTGCTGCTTATTTCTTGTATGTTTTTATGAACTGCAACCTGACCTTTGTTCTTGAGGCTTACAAGAGGTTTGCTTCTTGTAGTGAATCCTCTGAGGTTATGGTCATGAAGTCTCGTCTTGACTTGCTGTTCTTTTTATCCTGTATAAACATGCTTTTTTTTTTTTTTTTTTTTAGAATGTACCCAACTGTTGATTTTTGCAAACCAACTGCCTTTCATATATCTCTGATATAATTTATTTTCTTTGAGCCTTATTATCTTATTCACTTGCATGGTCACCTCTGTACTCCTCATACTAACGGACAACTCCACCTCAACTCTCAGCTCTGTCAACACTGAGCCACGAGTTCTTTTGTGCATGAACACTGAAACAACACACAGCTGCCAAAGAATCATTTAGCAGCAACGTGTCCAATTACTTTTGAACCCTTGCAAGTTGGGCACAATGTGTTTAACAGGGCTGCATCTCCTAATTCTTTCAATAATGATGTAAACCTACTCAAATTAAAGCTGAGACTTTGCACTTTAATGTGCTGAAAAGCACAGCCTGAAGGACAAGAAATGTGTAACTGTCCAAATACTTACCGCCTGGACTGTAGAGGAAAATTTTATTTTTTCCTTTCACTTCGCAAAGACAGTGGAAGTGGACATAGTGAAAACATGAACACAACATATGTTGCAGGTTCAACAGAAATGAGTGAGGACAAAGTTGTAGATGACAACAGTAACAATGAGGCATCATCAGGTGATATCCTGTAAATGAGTTGGCTCTGGTTCAACAAAAGCTATGAATAGGTTTTATTGATCAGGCCAATTTAAATAACACTGAACACAAGTAAACAAAATCCAGTTTGCAAAATCCTTAATTAATGTTCCTACACCAGAGTGGCAGCTTTGTTGAAGCTTTGCTGTGTCCCCTGTGTGTATTGACAGCACTGTGTAACAACTGCTTAGAGAAATTATATGAAGCACAGAAGTGGTAACTTGCTTCTCTTGTAATGCTCTTGTAGCTCTTAGCAAATTCATGCAATGTGGCCACTGCAGTTTCACCAGATTCCTAAACCCAATCCTGAGAAAATGTGTAAGATTCCCCATTGATACACAGTGGATTAAACACCAGTGTCAAAAATTAGGCAAAGCAGACTTTTATACTAAAAGAAGAATATAAAATGAAAACTATTGAAATTCCCCAAAGGAAGATTACAAGCCTTGTTTCACTTATTTTTGCACAAAAAAAATCAGCTCTTAAAACATCAGTTAGGTTGCAACAGTTACTGGTGTGTTTTGGCTTGGCACTGTGGAAAAATTTGTGCAAATTCAAGCTTAACATAATAGGTTTGGGGCGCTTTATAGTTTTATTGTTCTAACATTTTAAAGTCCACAAAACAGAATTTTAACATGACATTTTTTTCAAAAACACTGAAAAGAGAGTATGTAGGGAGGTACTGTTTCACAGGAAGTGTACCATAGATAAAAATCAATTCATCACAAACATTTTAAAATTGAAAAACTGAAAAAAAAACCAAACAAACTCAAATGAGTTAATACCAGCAATGTAAATGTTGAAATTAGTATGTGGCCCCCTGATCACTCAGACAATCAGAAATTAGATTAATCAGTCTTTGGCCTCTGGTTTTACATATGATCAAAATCAAACACACTAATCTGGAGTTCAACCAGGCCCCCTGTAGTCTTAATTTCAGCCCATTTATAGGCTAGGAACAACTTTTATCTTCATTTCTATAACCTGATGAAATTCAGAGCAGGCTAAGTCTTAGTGATCTGCAGCTACGTCTATGGAAGGTTTGACCTAGTCTTTCTGAATGTCCCATTGTAATCTGGGATTATACAGTATGTAATCCATGTCTGTATGGCTGTCTCAGAAGAAATGAGCCTCTCCACATTACAGTCTACCATTTTATCTAGAGTGCAAATAAAGGTTACACTGCACATTATGCAGAGTGAGAATCTGTGCAACTGACAGAAAGAGAATAAGTTCAGTCTTGTGGTATCACACCTTTCACTTCAACTCAGGAACACTGTTGGAAATATTTTCATCCTGCATGTTCATTTCTTCATCTTGAGGTCAGCTTCTATGGCACAACGGCGCCCTCTGGTGCCTCCATCCTACAGTCAAAGAAAGGAAAAAAAAAAACCTGTTAGACCACATTTAGTCCTCAGTCAACTGTGACTGAACTGACACCAGTGTTTCACTTAACAAACAAATGTGCTTCAAGATATTAAAGTCACATTCTTTTTCTTTTGATAAATATATAAAACTTTGCATTTGCTTCAGGAGAAAAAGACCAGAAAGAGAAAGTTTTAAAGGCTGCAGAACGGGTACTTACAAAAAGAGAAAGGAGGAAGGCAGGAGAAGACATGGAGACAGTGTCCTGTAAGAGGAAAATGATGCACATCAGAGCGGTGACTCAAAAGTGCATTGAGAGTCTCAAGAGGAAGCAAACTAACAACAAGAAAGATGCAACACAGTATATTCAGTGCAAGGAAAGTTTGAAGTGAGCTTTAAGAGAACTTACTGTGAACAGATTTTTGCCATAAATTGGTATATTACCATGTGGCCATTTTAAACGTTTACTATTTAATTCCTCGCTGCACTGCAATTGCACTACTTATCCACACGTTATTTTTTAAGGAACATGCCAGCATGTTTAGCTCTTTAACTGCATACAACATATACTACAGACATATATTCCTGTCAACCATTTTTCAAAGCATAGCATGAAGTTTTACAATCAGATCCTATCTTCCACTCAAGTACTGGTTTTAATTAACATCAGTACACTTTGGAAACCTGCTACAGATAGCTCATTTGCCATATATGATAATTAGAAGTATTAGGAGTATGTTGTTGCTATTTCACCAGACAACTTGATGATCAAATAACAAAGGAACCAAGTCCATAGGCCTGAGAAAAAAAAAACAACTCAGCAACTCTTGCTGACTAACTGGAAAAAACTTTATTTTGGCACAGAGTCTGCATCAGGTGTGGTTTACAGAATGTGTAAAAAAAAATTAAATATCAAAAATATCCAGTCAGGCTCACTTTGTTTTGTCAAAGTTATGTTATGGTGGTATAGTGAAGTAATGTAGTTATTTAGAAAATACTTATTTGTTTCTCCGTACAAGACCAACATCAACATTAGCAGATCTTCACTCAATCACATTATCATGCAAAAATAATGCATCAACAAAAAAAACATAAAGGTGACTAAATAATAAAAAAAACAATAGCTTTCTTGAAGGTAGAATATCAATGTAAACCCTTACTGTATGCTTTGGTAAATAGTTGTAAGTAATGTTCTTTACATTATTGCATTATTACATTAATGCCTACCATTTTCCAAAGCATAACGTATGTTTTAAAATAGATTTCTTGTTTTCCAGCCAACTTGTTTGAGATACATACAGAGCACTGTAGTCTTGTTTCAGTTATCTTTGTACAATAATGCCTTAAAAGATACACCGATGTCCAAACCTAAAGTCAGCTTCAAAAAAAGTATTGCAATCATTATGTCTGAAAAATCAAAGCTATAAGCTGAGCAATAATTGACAGATGGACATTGTGGAAAAATCTAACTGAATTTGTTGGATTCTCGCATGAAAAAAAGTTGACTTCTGACAAAAAGACTTTCACTCTGATTGATTGGCATCAAATCTTGGAAGATTTCGAATCTTTTCATAGTTTCCAAAACTAATGGTTATCTGAAAGCATATCATTCTAGAAACTACAGTCATGCTTTGGAAAATGACCAGCAGATCTAGTTTAGCATCACTTTCTTCTACCTTTAAGTCAGCCTGTTGTCTCACCCTTGTCTCTTCTTCTGTACTCTGCTTTTGTCAAAATTCTAGTGAAGCACCTTGTCAGTAGAGTCCTGTTTGCGTGTGCTCTCACGGCCCCTCAGACTCTTGGCGCTGATACCAGACTCTGAAGTCTCCATGATGAGCTGGGTAGCTAGAAACTGCTGGATCTGCTCCAGGACGTCACGCTGCATCTCCAGAGCCATGTGGTACACATCATGATCCAGGCTGTTGTACATGACAGCGTTCTGAAACATCAGCATGATGTCCCTCTGGAACTCAGCGGTGGTCCGTATCAAACCAGTCTCAATGTTCTTCTTTATAGTGGCCAGGTCCATGGGCCTGTAGCAGAGTAGAGCAAAGAGAAATGAAAAGAGGGTTTCTGATCAGTCAATGTCAATAATCCAGTCTGAAAAGTTCACCTACCCCCTTTGAAATGAATTGAATATTCTTCACCGCATAAGCAATATGGCAAGCAACTGCTTTTAAAATGGCAAATAACCAATAGTAAAAATATCCCCTGCTTACCTGTGCACAATACTGTGATATCCAGGTGCAATTTCATCTGTTACTGGCTGCAGGAAGACATTTGCATACCTACAACAGTTTGACATAAATTACATCTGTTTCAGTTATGGTACAAAGAATTCAAAAATTAAAATATGTGAGACTCTGAGTTACTGAATGTTTATTTTATGAGTCATATTAATATTAAGACCTGTGATTGGCCGCTGCACGCCACACCAGCATAATGGCTTTCTTCCAGATCTTGTGAGCCTGTAGTGCTTCCAGGTCCTCGCTGCACACAGAACTGCACAATAACAGTAAGGTAGTACAAACAGAAAAGTAATATGGATAGTATTCAAGCAGAGCCAAATATGCAGTATGACACGATGAGAAATTCATGTTACTAGTTGACAGAAATGAAAAACAATCTGCGGCTTACACATTATTAACACAGTCTCTCACAAGCAATAGTTAGTTTCCTTGCTGTGTGAGCCTGATCGTGTTTTACTCACAACTGCGATGAGGCAGGACTGCTGGGGATGGAGTCTGCGGTTGTGTGGAGCTGCAGAGATGAGGAAGCCGTGTGGAGGCTGTATCCATCCTCACTCTCACTGGCCGCAGGTTCTAGCTCCATCTCGCCGTCGGGCTCTGACAAGAATCCCTCCACTCCATCACCCTCCTCTTCTCCACACGCTTCTGGCCCGTTGACCTCATTGTCCACTTTAGTCCCTGAGGCATTCTCTCCTCGCCCAACCCTTATTCCATTCTCTGCCTTCATCCCCTGCAAAGACGGGAGAAAAATGCAGAGAGATTCAGACACAGCTTACAGTGCAGGAATATTCATATCAGCATTGCAGTACAGCAATTACAAGCATCATGTTTGCTCGGGATACCTTGGGATGCCTTTCTGTCAGTGGGCTATCTTCTAATACAGAGTCTGCCAAGATAGTAAAAATGGATAATAAGAAGGAAATTGTTATGCAAAATGCATTATGAAGCAAGTGAATACTGATATTTATGCATGGGTGTGCATACCTGCATGAGATTTAATTGGTCTTTGCTGTGCCCACTTCTCGCTCTCACATTTTATGCTAACATCCAATGAAATTTGGCTCTTTGGGTGCACCACCTCTCCAGTCTTTCTCATTGCCTGAGGCCGTGGAGGTGCTCCAGTGTGGCAGTGCTCCACACTCTTCAGGTTGCATGAGGATGAGGAGGTGGGAGGAACACTCCTTAGTCCCATGGGGAATGCTGCAAGACAGTTATCTTGACTGTTGCACAGAGAGGAGAGTGAAGCAGAAGTCTCATTCTGAACTTGTAACACTTCTGTCTTCCCCTCCAGGCTACAGTGAAGAGATGAGGACTGTGGGATCCCTGTGGACACTGTGGGGTGAGACTCGTGGGGCTGGAAAGGCCCTGCCTCCCAGGCACCAGACAGAGCATGGCCATTCTCCTCACACAGGGACAGAGCAGCCTCAACTGCAGCTGCATCCAGAGCCTCTGCTGCCTCATCTGCCTGTGGAAGAAGAGATATGACTCTGCAGCTCAAAGAATATTCGTACTTTTACAGGTCACTATGTCCCAAAATTTCAGCAGTGATGTTGTCGAATAAGCTGTTGTGAGAAAATGAAAATACCCAGATTGTCTAATTTTCATGTAAAACATCAAACAGGTATACGTCAAACAGGCCATAAATGCTATAGTTTATCCACAAGCAATATCGTTGCTGTGAAAAATATATAGTCCTTCTTGTCTTTTTGCACCTTGTCTTCAATGATGGCGATAATGTCCCCCACCGTCTTCAGGTCCAGCTCATCTCCCATGTAGGACACAGTCACATCCTCCTCACTGAGCCCTGACACCTTATCCTCTGCAGAGACAGACAGAACCATCACAACCACCTCTGCACATATACAACTGATTTTCACCATATTTTCTCAAGAAGTATCACAAGTACAGAATGTATTCACATTCTTCTGATGTATGAAATTATGTAAAAATGTTAAAAAATTATGAATATTTGTAAAATAAACCACATATTTACTCAGCCTTGTGCCACTGTTCGAACATTACAGAATATTTTAATCTAAAATTTAGTGTAATTAATCCTTCAATTTCTTTTTGCAATTTAATGGATAGTTAACGGTCGTACCTAAAACATTATGTTACATATTTGCTAGTTTTAGAGGAAATGGCCAACAAACAGAGGGTCTGAAATGGAATACTGCAGCAACAAAGCAGGTGACATTAAGGATGTGGAGAGGTTTAGCCTGTGGGTTGCGTGCTGAGTGGTTTGGATATGGTTAAAAGTGGACAGACCTGTGCTTGCTGAGGCAGTAGAGTCAACAGGAAGAGGAGTGGCAGTAGAGAGAGGGGCACTGGAGGCTGAGTCTGCACTGACCATGAAACCTAATGGGGCAGAAAACTGGGTGGGACCCGCCTCCAGGAGACGAGACAACATCGGGGCACCTGCCATGCAAACATACACACACACACACAGACAAAGCAGCAGAGGCTTTCAGCTAGCCAGTGTATGAGCAAATAGCTTAGACAGTAGTGGCATGCTTACATAGAAAGCATACAGTACATACATTTAGGATTCAAGGCATGAAATTAACAAATACAAAACATGTTCCTACAATAAAGGTACAATGGCTATAAACAGCATTTAACCCCCTTGAACTTTTTTGTGCCAAAGGACATTCTACTAAACATTATCTTCATGAAATCTGAAATCTTATGTAAACAATTATTCTGTGTTTACTTTGACATGACATTTCTGTTGATTAGTATCAGGGAAATGAACTGTATACACTACGATTGTAAACAAATAAGGCATGCAGGACTCAAATGGGGCGAATACATTTTATCACAAATAAAAGTCAAACAAGGAACCTGTTGCCTGAGAGAGAGGTTGAGTAGGTGGAGCCAGCTGCAAGTCATGTGCTCCTGTCATATTACCAGTGGACACGTCACCCTCCCCAATCTGGGAAATAAATGCATACAAGCATGTTGAAAAGTTAACATGTATTTTGTCTGTTCTATTGCAGATAAAGTGCACATTAAGTATTATTACTTATGTTATAGTCTGTATTAAACAAACTCGTTAATTAAGATGTGTTGTTGCTGATTCAAACATACCGATCCATTATGTCAAAATTAATTTTATATGTCCACTACATAATTTTATAAATAATGCAAATCTAAAGCTAAATGTCTGAATGTTGTGTTATTTCTACAACTGACTGGAATCCCTTTGTTTATGATTATAAAGAAGTCCCAACAGACAATGTGGCAAGTCGGAACAGAAACATTTCCAGGGAAAATGTGAGAAGGAAAAGATCTAGTAAAGGATAAACATATTCTGGCATGTTTGGATTTCATAAGAGCACAGAAAATTCCATCAAATATAAAACAAAACAAAACACGAAACAAGCCAGACAATTCCAGGAGGTAACTGTCCAGAAACTATTCAAGAACAATGTTGGTCAGGGACTGACTGATTGACAGCTCCTTGCCTGCAATGGAAAGTCACGCCATATAAAAACCCCTGATGGATGCTCACAATTGAGAGGAATTAATTGAAGATGGCTGCTCACATGTGTACTCCATCCAACTTTAAAAAAGACTGAGTGAATCTAAATTATGCAAACACTCAGATGTCCTGAGGTGAAAACAGGCTGGGTGTTGAAAATCTAACAATATTTCTGTGTTCCAAATAAATAAATAAATGTGCTGAAATTACTAAAATCTCATTACAGCTGGAAAAACCAACCACAGAGAACCACAAAACACAATGGTGAGAAAAAATGATTAAATGCGTCCTAAATAAACAGAAACTCTTCAAGCGATGAGATGAAGATGGGATACCTCTGCAGACTTAACATATTAATTACAGAGCTTGGCACTGTTGGCATGACACTAAGTCCACTCAACATACCAGTCTTGAATTTGAGGCCAAGATACTGCCTTTCTTCAGTAACTCTGACAGGAGTGGAGATGGTGGTGGTGTGGCTTTCTGGCCCAGGAGTTTCTTTTGGGTGGGGTCATCCAGAAGTGACCCGTGGCTGATGTCATCACTACCAAGGCCAGAAGACTCAGCAAATGTCATTAACTTGGCTGATCCTGAAGCCTAGATACAGAGAGAGGGGATAGTGAATTCATATTGCCATGCCAATCCAGGCTTTCATTGATCAAACTGTAATCAACTCTGTCAACGTGTTTTTGCCTCCCCTAAGGTAGTGGTCAGTAATATTACATCAGTTTCTACAAGATCCCTTGTAGAGGTGCTTGCAAGTTACTTTCAGCAGTTAAAAATGAATATGCAGAATATTCTATACATTTCAAAGTGTGCCATGGAGGGAGCACAAGGATTCTGGTTTTTACAATAACCAGAAAATGACAAATTACTTTAGCAAATCTAAACATGAGCGCTCAAAGACGAAAACAGAAACACAGACTCTCCTTGAGCATTAAACCTACTGAAAATACCAACAAACTTTTGTTTCTAAATGTCGCAAGAGGAGATATGATTATTGATAAGTGGGGCAGACCGTCTATACCTTTGAACCTTCAGAGACTTACATTCTTTGCGGATGCAAGATCCAGAGTTAAGCTCTCGAGTGGGTCACCTGGTGAGTACTCCTGGTTTGGGGAGTTGCACCCTGAGGGCGAATGCATGGTGACACCGGGCACTCGCTTAGGCGTGCTCTTTGCCACCTGTCTGGCTGGAGGAGGGAGGGGCAGCAAAGAGAGGATAATCTTATAAGTCACACAAAAGCTGATGTTCAACGCTTCCAGCTCTTTGAGTGGGCGAGTGTTCAGTACCAATAAATGAGAAAAATCTCAGAAGTTATTTTTTTATCAAGTACATTTCTTTAAGAGTAATAGAGTAAAGGCTACAGTTAAAATCTGCCACCTCTAAAATCTGTTACACTTTTAACTGAGGGTAGATAATGGATCATGTCTACAGCAGACAGACCAGGACATCAAAGATTGAACAGCTTTTCAACAGACATTTCAAGTGAACCAATTTACTTACTCCTAGTTGTTTTCCAGAAGAAAACATGCTGTTTATGGAGCATCAATGATATTACTGAAGCATAAATCTATATTGATGTTTTCCCCCAAAATACCCCTTAAAAGTGAAGGAGATACCCTGATAAGAAGCATCTGTGTTTTTTCTTTTTAACTCTGCTTCCTCCTCCTCCAGTTTCTTCTTCCTGACAGACACATCAGACATATTTAAACTTTACAAACAGAAAAAGAGATCAATTGTATCATTGTGTAAACAGGTCAGATAGAGAGTTTGTTTATTCTTACTGCAGAATTCCTTCCCATAAATGTTCTAGTTTGGAATCTAGATGTCCAGTTTGAATCAGTTCAGCCTCTCTCCTCAGCTTCCTGTGAAAACAGCACAGCGTCAACCAATCTCATCGATGCAGTTTATAATGCAACTATTTTGTTTTTTGGTTTTTTTTGTTTTCACAATGATAGTGACGTGTTCATGCTGTTAAAAGCTATGTTTGTGTACCTGTGCTTCTCCTGTGTTTCTTTGATCAACTTTTTTAGTTCATCAATCCTCTCGGCTGTCAGCCTGCGTACTATCACATCCTCCACTGTCTCCACCACTTCACCTTTCTCACCACGCTTCCTCCTGAGGTTAACAAATGCATTATTTAAGACATTGTTTTCTGGCATATATTGTTAATGCATGTGTCAAAAAGTATATAGCTATGTAATCTATTTTAGCTTGCAAGTCTAGGAAAGCAAGCTCAAGGTAAAAAATCACTTATGTGCTCACTTTGGGGCCTCTGTTGTTTCCAGGAGCTCAGAGTACTTGGAGGCACAGTGCTGTGAGCAGCCAAAGGAGAATCAAGAACAAGAACAGAGTCATGACAGGACAAAATAATAATGCGGCAAACCTACTGTGGAGATCATGAATTTGATCTTTGTGTTCTGCGATAGAGTGAACTCGGGTTTCGTCATACCTTTTGAGAAAACCAGTCAGGTGGACGCCCAGGTTCTGCAAATGGTTTGATGGCTCGACTGACAGATACCCTGTTGAGATGAAGACATGTTCTAAGATAATCCTGTCCTAGTTTATTATTAGTCTTAACACTATTTTTTATTCCCAGTCTAAATTCCTTTACATCTATTTTGTCAATATGTTTGTCATTGTTTTTTTCTGTGTTTAGGTCTGTGTTTCTGTGTTTTAGTTGTGAATTCATGCAAAACATATGCAAAATTAAAGCCTACATGCACTGGTCAACATCATGGATAGTATGCCAGTCTATTGTAGGGTTTACACAAATATACTCTTTATACTCCATGTAGCATAGGGCTGAACAATCGAAATCACAATATGGCCAAGTGCGATATCCAAATCACAGGAGCTGCAATTTTTTGATAAAGGTCAAATGTGTCACAACATACCATTATAAATGAAGCAATTAACAAATGTGGGGCTACAGAGATGCCCCAGCCTGCCAATCATATTCTCCAGGGAACATGCTTGTTTGGTACAGACCCCAACAAAATCACATGATGGTATTTTATATCTCAATACCTGTCCAAACAATTGCAATATGATTTTTTTCCATATCATTCAGCCCTAATGTAGCATGTGACCTCTGACAAGTTTAACATCTTTATATATGTTAAAACTACAGATGACTGTATATGACTATATCATACACATCAAATTTTGCACACAACTAATCAAAATTGCCACCTGCTTGAGACTAAAATGGCAAAAATGGGAGAAAATACAGTACCAGTTCTGGTCTCCACTCTTCATGACAGATGTGGCCAAACACAGCTTCTCCCTCACTGACCATGGCTCTGTTGGTCCAATGACAAGCAGCTTGTGTTCTGCATATGTGTTGGAAAATGGGACAATACATGACACATACTTGATATCGTTTCACAAAGCTCTTCTGTCATGCATGTTCAAGTGATTGTCTGCTACCCCTCTCAGTCCTGGTATCGACAGTTTTGTTAATCTCTTGAGCTCGGCTTCATTTTTATGCCACCTACAGATGCCCACCATGCCAGTAATTCACTGTGGACACATAAGTGCTTGGAAGCAGCACACAAAAAGCATGTCGTTTATACTGTTGGTAACCACCAACACTAGTGTAAACAGAGCTGTCAACTCGTGATGACAGCCATTAATCCTTGCAGGCTCCCCTGCAGGGAGCGGAGTCTGCCACGCAGGAAGTTAGTGGTTTTAACACAGACAGTACGACACACTAAGCGCTAACGGATAGCATGTCATGACATTTGCTATGTACCGACGTTACTCACTTCCAACCCCGTTTGCCATCTTCCTGTCATCCCGACATCCCATACATCTTGGTAGATAGAAACCCAGCAATTAATAACGCCGGAGAGACCCGAAAACGACAGCGAGACATAAAAATATGGACGTTAACATCAGTGAATGTTACGTTAAGGATGTTGAGGATTTTTTTTTCTTTCTAGCTAGCACGCCGAATCACCGTTGTCCGTTAAAGTCACAGTATTGTGTGTCTTTGTAACTTAAGGATTAACTAGCTAACTCAAACGCTATATTGGGCTGTCTTTGTTAAGAGTTGCAAAAACGGTTTAATTTCGCGTTATCCTCAACAGAGTCTATGCTACCAGGTAACAGCCAGATGAGAAAATTTAGCTTAATGTAGTCAGTAGTTATTCATCATTGTAGCTAGCAGCGAACTGTTCGTACACGCCCACCACCACAGAAAAGATGGTACAACCCTGGGTGCTGTTGAATACTCTTAACTCTGCTAACTTAGCTTGTTTCTAAGTTTCATGCAAATATGGTCATTTTCTTGTGGCTATAAAGCACTAATACCGATAATGATACTTGTTAACAGATTAACAGACCTTTCTGTACCTGAGAGGCTAAAATGTAGGGAGGCTATTTGATGCCAGTTTTGTGGTTAGGCTAAAACATCTACTGAGTGAGGAAACTTGACCAACTAACTGTTTTACTTGTTTGCCAGACAAATAAGTTATAATTCACATCTAGCATTATTACATTACATACTCAAAAAATGATACAACTACTGCTGTACAGATATGATAAATTCCCTAGCTAGTTACATACATTTATATGGAAGATTTTTAATGTCAAACAGGTCAAACAAAACAAATAAATTAAACTACACATTCTTATTACCATGTCATAATTAATTTGCAAACATGTTAAAAAAAAGACGTTTATTTTGCTTTTTGCCTTTGATATCGATATTTTTTATTAATTGTGAAATGACTTTTCCAAGTCACAAATAAGCTAACAATATTTCCAGTAACCACCTGTGAATGCTGCTCATACAATACTGATGAGTCTGTCATGTTCACACATTGAGCAGCATGAGAAAAACTGGTTTGTGACCAGTTTGCAGAAAAAACAAAACAATAAGGGCATCCGGGAGAACCAAGGGCTCTGAGACATTTTGACATTGATAGCTGTAAATGTTGTGTCACTATGCAGTATGTCTACATTTGCCACCTTCAGGGTTTTATGAAATTGGGACACTTGATAGTAAAAATGTTTTGACTGTACCATAACATATTGGAAAATGTTGTTGCATGTGGCCACATGTTGCTGCATGTCAGATGTTGCTGCCTCTCTCTTTTTAAACAACTGTTGCAGACATGCCTGCTCTGTTTTGTAATCCCTCTATACATTTTCACCTGCTGAGTTGTAGCCAAAGCTCTACATGAGGAGTATTTCCCTTATACTATGGCAGTATAGATCATTTCTCTTTATAAACTTCTTACTCTGGTGTTGTCTTGTGTAGATCTGCTAATCTGCTAATACAGCAGTAAACAGTACTAACTCATTTTAAGATCTCTTGTTTAGTCTGTATATATATATATATATACAGTATATATAATTTGCAATCAACAAGGAGACAACAGGAGCTAGGCCACATTAAAATATGTACAAGATATAGGCCTCATTTGATCCTGCAGCTGTTTAAAGTTGGGTTATATATGTTTGTCAATTGATGTACACTTTTTAACTCTAGTGTTGAGGGGATATGCAGGCACTCTGCCCTCCTCTCTGGCTCATTGATCCCATGATATAGAGTCTGTCAAAAATGAACAGAATGAAAGGGGAGACATACGGCTGGCTTGATGGATGGTTCGAGTTTATATTTGTCAAGAGTTGGCAACAATATAAAGACCTTACAAAGAGGGACCACAGACTGAACATCCCCCCCTGGAAGCATGCATAACACTGGGAATATTATATTTTTGGGCCTGTGGTAACAAGGGTTGGTTAGGTGAAGCAGCAACTCTTTCTACTGACATGGTCCTGAATCTTCCAGAGAGAGAGACCAATTACTACAGGGAAACAAATGTTAATGAGGCACTTGACATTTAACTCCATAGCACTGCCACTTTGCCCCCTGCTGCTGTGTGGAATAGCTGTCAGCTCTACAGGAAAGACAGGCAGCTTTGTAGAGGATAGTTTCAGCATGAGACAAATAACTCTGTTGTTTGAGAAAACTTACACCTTGACAAAAACTCAATCACTTACCTTGCAAACTCATTGGTAATACTGCACGTTTCCCAGTGTCCCTGTGTATTTGTTTTAGGAAAGAATTGGGCTCTTATTTGTTTGGGGCGTGATAGGACTGCTTTTTACCACACACACCCTCGTGATACCAGCACCAGTTACTGATACCTATGAATTGTGCGTATAGAGCCGTTGCTTACTATTGTTATACTGTAAATCTGCACATTGAAACAACCACAAGTTCCATTTGACCTACAGCTAAAACCTAAAACACAAGAAGTGCAACATGATAGAGAAGAAACAAAATATCCAAAGGTATTTCTTTTTGTTTGTTGTTGTTTTCATCCTATGGACTCCCCCGTGAGCTGTGTCCTCAATAAAGATTGAATGAATTATTCTCCTTCCTATGTCAGACCACACCTTGTTGACATGGCTGTCCCTTTGTAGAGACAGAGCCAATAAAAAATGTCCAAAATTTGATCTTTTTGTACAGGCATGAGGAGCATTTTTTGTCTAACTGCTCAAAGCAGTGATGAGGACTTTTATTTTGGATTCTAACATCCAGTTGTGCCACATGGTAAATATAGGAGTAAACTTGTGATAAACACTGCATCATTATTTTGTGCTCTTAGAATGACATAAGCCCAGTGAGCCTTCGATGAATGTCATTGATAAATGTATATCCAAGTATCAAAGATTTGATGTTTGTCTACTGATTAATTCCAAACAGGAAAATTAATTATAGGTATGGAAAACAACCTTGCCTATTCTCTTGAGAGCTTCTTCATTACAGTCTAATATCTTTTCAAGTTGTTGTGTTAGGAAAAAAAACATTGCTGTATATTTAATACACTGTTGAAGAGAATTAGTAGTTCGACTCTTTTATAGTATCAAAGATTTGATGTTTGTCTACTGATTAATTCCAAACAGGAAAATTAATTATAGGTATGGAAAACAACCTTGCCTATTCTCTTGAGAGCTTCTTCATTACAGTCTAATATCTTTTCAAGTTGTTGTGTTAGGAAAAAAAACATTGCTGTATATTTAATACACTGTTGAAGAGAATTAGTAGTTCGACTCTTTTATATATATATATATATATATATATATATATATATATATATATTTTTTAT